ACCCTAAACATCCACCTAAGGTTAACACACAGCATTTTGACCACCATTGACACAGTAAGTACGTAACTGAAGAAGTTGTTTATTAAAATATGATTAAATAGAGATTTGGCTGAATTTGTAAGAGAACATAAGAGATCAAGGATGAATATAGATATAATTCAAATTCCTATGAACAGAAAACCTAATAGTTTTACCCAATTTCAACAATCAATGCAACCACTAGAGACAACAGACTTGCTGGGATTCAAAGGGGAAAATGAGTCTCGATTTAGTCCCAAGGTATTCCAAAGCTAGTTCTTCCCAATCAAAACCCCTCTAACCCTCAATTTTTTAATGGGATGCGGCTTGTCCATCCTCTTTGTCATAAAGGAGAGAGATACATTTTATTGTTTTTGAAAGATAGAGGGGGCAAAGAGTGTGTTACATAGGGAGAGAGATGAAGGCGAATACATTAGTATAGAGGAGAAGGAGAGATGGTGGATATATCAGTCATCAATGAGAATATAGATTACAAAGACGACGATGGAGATAGAAGACAACTCATAGCGAGAGAAGCATTTTGGTTTGTAATACAAATCCTATCGTCTTGTACACTAAGTAGTCAAAAAAAATTACAGCACCTAAAATTCGTCTTATTAGGCCCTCATTCCATAGGTGTTTCATGCAATAATCATCATCTTTGGCCAGTTGAGATCAATTTCATGCTATATTTACTTCATATCATCAAGATCCTAAGATTTAGCAAGTTTCTATTGTTACTTGGCCATTGAGCATGAATCTGGCATGAATCTTTTTCATTATCATCCTTTTCTAAGCTAGGTTGTATTTTCTTGCTTAATTTCAGGTCCTAGTACTAGGGCTGGTTATTTGGTCCGGACGGTTTGGTTTTACCCAAAACTGGACCGTATAACCCGGACCGGGATCGGACCGAGACCGGATAGCAAGCAATCCAATCTCTTATTCGGCCTTAGATTTTAGGTAAAAAATCGTTTGGGACCGAATAAAGACCCGATAAGAGACCCCAATACCCAAAACTTAACCAGCTCCTCACCCTTTGAGGCCTTAGGCCACTCAAATCCCCACAAGCTCAATCTAAAATCAAGACCAAATTGGGACCGGACCGGATCAAGACCGGACTGTATCCAATCCAATCTTTGGTCCTTATACTCCCGAAAAGACCGGACCGGGATCAGATCAATTCAGGCCAATTTAATCGGATCGGACCGTATAGCCACCCCTACCTAGTACAATAAGGAAGAGGCACATAAAGTTTCGTGCAAATAAGAGGTCGTTTAAGGGGGTGAAAAGAAGATGGAAAACAATATCTGCCAAAGTTCACGACTGGGGGGGGGGGAAGATAATCGACGGGAACTTCTCTCCATGCCGACCAACTCCAAGAAGATGTACACGATGTGTACATAAGGTATCACAACCCGCGCGCGGCCACGACGAGCTGGGCCGTGAGAAAAGTTCACAGACGCGACAAAAGATTGTGGTTATGAACTTCTGCCCAAGGCTGCAAAATTTTCCACGAGTTCACCACCTGATGACAAGAGCTCCGACCGCGAACTCTTGTCCCAAGACTGCACACTTTCCCATCCCAAGAGTTTGCGTGCTCCTGTCAAAGTCCACAGCCGCAAACTCTTGGCTTGAGGCTACAATCTTCCCCTTCCCATCAAAAGTTCACAACCTCTTGTCAAAGTTTACGACTGCAAACTCTAGGTCGGGAACTTTGACCTGTGCGGGGATACAAATAGAAGGAGGTTGTTTTAAGCAAAGAGGGGCATCCTAGAGTGCTTAATGCTTCTAATTAGGGTGTAGATGTATGTTGAGTGCTTCTTACCTTGCTTAGATGAGCTAGGCCTAAGAGGAAGAGGTGACCATCCCCCTTTAGTTAAGAGCTCACATATTTGATGTTTGTCCGGTAAGTGCATAACCATTGGCTTACCAGACTTGTGTGTGGATGGGTGCAACTCATTTAGAGGAGGTAAGACTTACCTCTAGTAAGGGAAACTAGTTGTAGTGACATTGGACCGATGCGCACGACTAGAAGGGGGATTCGTTGCATAACCATTGAGTCAATCCCCATTTTAGTGACCTCTACACCTCAAAATGCCATTTGATTTTGCTCGTATCAACCTATAGCTAGAGGAATTCAACCTAGGCAAAATTCTAGCTCTTCTGACTTCTTCTCTTTTAGTTGTGTTTCTTTGTTTTTTCACACTTAAACTATCAACTATCACTTTGACTAGATAATAGGTCGATGCCTGGAATAGTAATAGGTCTAGAGGGCCCTCAGGAATACAATCTCCGTCACCACTTTACTACTTCGGTAACCAAAAAGTGCATCAAATTGCAATATAAATTAATTTGATTTGTAGTAGAGACGATGTCCAAATTTATAATGACAATAGTTATAGTTTGTAATGGAAGTAATTTTGATTAGTAATGTAAACCCTATCGATTTGTACTTTAAAGTAATCTAAATTGTGACACATAAAGTATATGATTTGTAATAGAAGTAAGCCATGCTTGTAATAGAAAAGAAGTATAGGTTGTATATGGAAAATGTTATACAAACAAAGTTTGTTTATCACATAGGTTTCTCAACAATATTATTATCACTGGTGAAAAGGGAAAACAGTCCTTCTGTGTAGGTGTGTTGATCGCCTATAGTCAACCGTCGATTGGATGACCTGTAAGGCCGCATAAACCCATGATTGGTCGTCCGGTGCTCTCCAATGATCAAGTCAACGAGGAAAGCCCTAGAAACGGGTGATAGAAGATGATATGTAAAGTGTAGTAGAAACATGTTACCCATAATGAGAGTTGGAAACACAAAATTTATTGCAATGCAGGAGTCACTACGGTTTCATGTGTGCATAATTGATTAGATTTGAGCCATATGATCGATTTTGAGAATGACCGGATCATCCACTTATCCCTTGGAACTCCCATCCTTGAAAATAATCCAAAGGCCTTTTATTCTTTTTGTCCGCAAGGACCACCCCTACGTGGAGCGATATATGTGGATCATTCGTTTGTAGGGTAACTGTAGCGACTAGAAGAAGTTACTAGTTGTCACTTCACGGGAGGTATTTTGACGATGCGTTCTTATCCCCTATACGAGTCTGGCTATACCCTCTAGTCATATGGCAACTAATGTCGACTGAGCAATTCATTCCCTTGGTGGCTTAGCAGCGGCAGATCCAGGATACAATTGAGCATTGGGCCAGATTTGAACAGAAAATTAGATACCGTGAACAAAAATATATAATAATTAAATATAATTTTTATTATAATGTCAATTGTACATGACGATCTTTCAATTTAGAAAATTTATCAATAATTGAGTCTTCATCCATATCAATAACATACTCTCTGTTGAAGAAAATAATTAAGCAATTAGCCAGATATTCATCGCACATTTTGTTGCGCAAATCTGTCTTTACATGTTTTGTTGCTGAAAATGATCTGATTCTAATAATTCTTGAAACGGGAAACGTCAATACTAGACGAATCAACCGACATGTCAATTTGTACTTTGTGTCTGGCACGTTTCAGATTCCTTCCGTGAAAACAGTTTTGGTTTCGCCTTTTTAGTTGATGGTTTAAGAAGAATGTCATGAAAAAAGCCAAATGTGAAATTTTATATTAATACACAAAATTAGTCATTCATATCATCAATGAACAAATATATGAACCACAACACAACTACTAAATAACAAATATAACCAATAAACGACAATAACATATAACAAACATTTTAGTCAACAATTTTACAAACTTTTTACATAAATGTAGTGCTACTGCTAGGGAAGAGACGACAAGTAGGACTCGCCGCTTGCAACTATGAAGGAGAAACCGAGAAAGTTGGGTTGCAGCCGCTGCGGAAGAGACCACAAGCTGGGCTTCTGCTACTGGACGAATTCGCGGCGGACTGGCGGAGGAAGTTGGGCCGTCAGAGGTTCGAATCGGCGGAGATCGCCTCCTTCCTTTGCCCTTGTGGTGGGTTTGGAACTTTGGGTTTTTTTATTTGACCTTTCTGTTGGGCAGGAAAAGATTTTGAGGAGCAGGAAATTGCACTTGGGGTTCTGGTTTCATAAAAAATAAAAAGAGTAATGTCTATTTTTTATCCAAATCTTTTTCAGATTCTTTTATATTATCCAAACTTATCGAAATACTAAGAATTAGTCAAATGTTAACTTTCAGTTAGCAATTTTGTTAGTAATCCAAAGGATCGATTAGATTTGAGCCATATGATCGATTTTGAGAATGACCGGAACTCCTATCCCTGAAAATAATCCAAAGGCCTTTTATTCTTTTTGTCTGCAAGGACCACCCCTACGTGGAGCGGTATATGTGAATCATTCGTTTGTAGGGTAACTGTAGCGACTGGAGAAGTTACTAGTTGTCACTTCACGGGAGGTATTTTGACGATGCGTTCTTATCCCCTGTACGAGTCTGGCTATACCCTCTGGTCATATGGCAACTAATGTCGAGTGAGCAAGTCATTCCCTTGGTGACTTTTAGGAGTATTCATGGCAAGCGACCCTTATTCATACTATCTCAACCCCTATATTAGGCATGCACGGTAAATCTCTTTTCCATGTTTAGTCATTACCCCATATGTGGCGTGGTGTTTATCTAATTGGGGTTGCCAAACAATTTCAACAATACATTTGACACACGAAAAGCACATCCATCACATTAAACTGATAACTAAAATAGACTTCTGTTCAACGAAGACATGCCATGGCTTTAGACACGAAAACCAAACGACTACCAATTACAAGTGCGCGGAACTCGCATCATCTAGTAAACATTAGTTCTTTATTCGTTTCTTCCCTTTTTTTCTTCCCTTTTGGTCAAAAAGAAAAAAACCCGACAATTTCTCCTAGCCGCTCGAGCCCTCTCTCTTAGTTTCATGAGTTCTTTGACCAATGCATGAGCCATCTTTTATAAACCTACGTGAATTCCAATGCAAAGAGAGAAAAAAACAAACTTTACGTGTATGCATGCCAAAATAAACACAAGCATGGCTAGTAGGAAACGAGATGTAAATCCCATACTGGCCATCTCTTTGGCCCTCCTAGCGGCCGACTTCATCGTCGCCGACGATACAACGCCGATACCGGAGGATAAGGGACAGGTAGAGGCGTGGTTCAAGCAGAATGTGAAGCCACTTGCCGAGCGCAAGGACACCTTGAACGCCACCCTCGTAGCAGCCGAGATGAACCCGAAAACCATCCGGGTCAGGCCCGATGGGAGCGGCGACTTCTCGACGCTCACCGGCGCGATCAACAGCATCCCGAGCGGGAATAAGCAGCGGGTGATCATTGATCTCGGGTCCGGCGAGTACACGGAGAAGGTGATGATTGAGAGGACCAGACCTTTCGTCACGCTCAAGGGGGATCCGAATGCTATGCCCATCGTTCAATTCAGCGGCACCGCGCGAGAGTATGGTACGGTTTATAGCGCCACGGTACAGGTCGAAGGAGATTACTTTGTCGCCTCAAATGTCATCTTCAAGGTACGTACGTACGTGTTATTAGAGTATGCGTAGTACGAGTAGTAGTATTGTGTTATACTACGCGAGAACTGTTATTAGATATGGCAAATGGATTGATCAAGGGATTGGTGGATTAGATTGGTGGATTCATGGATCAAATGGATTGGATCCAATGGATTGGTGGATTCATGGATTGGATCAAGTGGATTGGCGGATTATCCATGAATCCAAATGATATCCTCAACCAAAGACCAATATGTAAAATGTGAAAAGTTTAGGTACTAAAATGTCATAATGAAAATTTTAGGTACCAAAACGTAATTTTTAATGATATTTTTCGTATAAAAAATTAAATTTTGGGTACCAAAATATAAAATATAAAAAGTATAGGTACCAAAATGTAATTTGCCATTTGGATCCATAGATCAATCCATGAATCCCCCAATCCAATTGGATTTGGATAAAATGAATTGGATCTAAATGGATTGGATTAGATGGATATTTTTAATGAGTTGGTGGATTGGATTGAGAATTGTCACCTCTAACTGTTATGTAATTGGTCAGAGTTATATTCCTTATCAGAGTCATATTAATGTTAGGGTTATTATAGAAGTCAGTCTTTGTACTATATATATAAACCCCATGTAGTCTTTGTACTCTATATATAAACCCCATGTGGCGTATCAGTAATAATAATACGCAACAGTTTCCAACCGTGTTTCTGATTTCCAACATGTGTATTCCAATGATTTTGGCTAAAATATTTCTGGGGTAGGATAAATTTTACTATTGGGATGGCTGGAATTTGTTTAATAACATGGGCAAACATTTGATAACATCCAATGATTTTTTTTCCAGAACACAGCACCAGCGCCAGACGGTTCGCAGAAGGGAGAACAAGCTCTGGCGTTCAGGATCGGAGGCAACATGGCGACATTCTACAACTGCAGGTTCCATGGATTCCAGGACACTCTCTGCGACGACAGAGGGTGGCACTTCTTCAAGAACTGCTACATCGAAGGCACCGTCGATTTCATCTTTGGCAGCGGTACTTCCCTCTACTTGAACACGGAGCTCAAAGTCCTCAAGAATGGAGGCTTCATCAGCGCTCAGGCCAGGAATCAGGACGACACCACGGGCTACTCCTTCGTGCACTGTGACATCACCGGAATGGCCCAGGATTCGTTCTTGGGCCGGGCCTGGTCCAAAATGCCCAAGGTCGCATTCCTTTACTGTAACATTGGCGCGGTCATCAACCCCCTGGGTTGGTCCGACAACAACAAACCCGACCGAGACACGTAAGTATATAATATAACAACTTAGTCTACGTTTAGAAATCATATGCTTCCGACAGGACATAAATTGATTTACTTTCTACGTTTGCATATTTTGCAGGACATTGGAGTTTCGAGAGTACAAGAATACAGGTCCATCTTCAAATCTATCAGAACGAGCTAAATTCACCAAACCGTTGACCGACGCCGAGGCGCTACATTACCTTTCTTTGGGATTTATCCACGGCTCTTCGTGGTTGCTTCCACCTCCATAATCCAAGTGTTCCAAATAGGTCATCAATGCCATATAGATTCGTTTGAACTCATCATATGCAAGGAAAAACTGAGCTGGGAGTCCACACCAGCAACAAGGCAAAGGACCAAGTCTTGTTTTTTTTTTAAAAAAAAATTTATGCTTTATTATTCAAGGAATTATATTTTGTATGTGAATGTTTAATAAATTAATGGTTCATATACAGATTCTCTTCACTTTTCCCCAGCTTATATTTATAGAACCACAATGACAAATAAAGCTATTAAATTAAAACTTATAATGTAGAACAAGATAGATTTTGAATTTTGAAATCGTTTCAAATTTAAGAGAAATCAACAAGTTACGCGAGTTTCAAATTTAAGAGAAATGAACAAGTTACGCGAGAGAATAAAACGAACCTTAAGTTTTTTCTTAAAACAACAAAGTGACACTACAAAATTACTAGACATAGGGGACAAATATAGGAGACACTGATCTTATTTCATTCCCGTAATTAAATACAATTTTAAGTGATTTGGGAGACAAATTAATAAATGTGTCTCCATAAAGTAAGGAGTAAATTGTTACTCAGATTGTGATTCTTTATTTTGTTCCCAAAAGGATATGTAGGCGGAATTTATAAAAAGAAAAAGGAACAAATATTTAATTAGAATTCGTTAGGGTGGGAATCATAGTTAGTAAATACTACGTTTAATACACGTATATGTATCCGTACGTACTTTATCCGTTTAATACTTTCGTATCCGTATTATTGTTAAGTCGTTCCATTTTTTCCCGTTCATTTGATCGCTCCCGTATTAAACACATATAAAACCCGTATAACACGTTTAATATCCGTATTTAATGAATTAAATTGTTAACTTTAAAATTATTTACATATTTAATTATTTTTAAAATAATTATTTTAATATATATATGACTATTAACTTAGTATTAAATCTAATATTAGCTTAGAAATTAAATGAAATGAAATTATAATATATTTAAAATAATTATTTTAATATATTTATGACTATTAACTTTCTCGTACCGTATTTTACCGTGAGAATTCGCACGGCTACGACTTTTGGGGACTTTTCCCTTTCTGTTGGAATTTTGTATCTTTTATTCATCTTTTTTTGTCTTACAATTTTGTTAAAATGATATATTTCTGTCCCTAAGAGTATTTCTTGTTTGTTTAGGTTTTATTTTTTAATTAGGGGTAGTTGTAGGCTTGCAGCCTTGTCAATTTGCCTATATAAATTAATTGATTGTATTGTCTTGAAACATAGGAGGAGAGTCCAATTAAAATTCTTGTTCTATTTTACAAATTATGATTCCAAATAAAGATGGGATGAGTATTGTTCGTGCCCAGAACCCCTCTCCTCACGCCTTGCGTTCCGATCCTCTCGAATCCCCCTGATATGCGCCCTCCTGCACCCACACAAGTACCTAGCGGACCGAGGCGGTCCGTTAGCACTCCGACGCTCAAGTGAGAAACCTCCTTTTAGAGAGAGAAGTGAAGGAACAGTTCTAGTAAGAGAAGCAAAAACTGAGTAAATGAGGTTTACCTACTCGACTATTTATACCCGGGGCGAGATCGACCGGTATCCGTCGCTCTCGCCCTGTGTCAGGCCCGTCATAAATGCACCGTACGTTCCTTGCTCATGCACCTCGACCATCTGACACCGCGGTCAGAGGACCAAGGCGCATGACATCACCAAGTCAACCCTCCGTACCCTTTCGACCGTTGGCTACTTTTGTCTTGTGCGCCCCTCGCCTGATACCCGGTCCCACCTGTCTCCCACGTCACTCTGGCCACCTGCGCCCTTGTCAGGGCGCCCCCTTAGCCCAAAACCCTTGCCCCCATGGGCTTTCCTGAGTTCCTCTAGCTGGGCCCATATCTACTAACACCACACTTTGGGCTTTTCCTTTTATGTTGGCCCCTGGCCCATACTTGTTCCCCCAACAATTGCCCCCCAGTTAGGCGCCTAACACCCAAGGTTAGGGGCCTGACTGTATTCTCCCCCTTTAGGATTCGTGCGCCTCCCTCTTGACACCTATGCGCCTCTTGGTTCATTCGTGCGCCTCTCCCTGCCACGCCGTGCGCCCTACCCATCTGCCACTTGCTCCTCTGCCCCTGCCTTGTCCTTTCTCTCTTTCCTCCTCGCATGCTCGTATATATTTCCTCTCTTTCTTCATTACTATTACTTATTCTCCATTTCGCCCTATTTATTTATTATATATATTTTTATTATTTTTTTTTTCTTCTCCACGACTGTTCATCTTCCGCCTTTCTTTCTGTGCCACTGTGACTCCTGCCATTCCACTCTCTCCCCCACTTGATCCGTTCGCGATTCGAAATTCAAATTTCGAAATTGCTAACGGATCAGGGAAGCCTCTTCGCCTTCCCACTCTCTCTCCTCCCTTCGTCCTTGGACCCCTCTATAAAATCCCCTCTCCCCCTCTACAGCCCTCACAATTCGCCTGCATCCTCTCTCTACTTCCTCTCACTACCCACCTAATTTCCCCTTGCTCTGCCCTACACGCCCACCGCTTGCCATGGCGTCCTCTCGTCAGATTCCTCTCCCCTCACAGACTCCTGCCCCAGCCACCGGATCAGATGCCCCCATCCACGATGCTACGACGCATGACTCCGACGCCCCTGCCGCTAATGCGCCTTCCGTCAGTGCGCCTTCTACCTCTGCGCTAGGGGTGGGCGTTCGGTCGGTTCGGTTTGAACCGAACCGAACAAGGTTATCCCGAATTTCCGAACTTTCCATCGCCCCGACCGAATTCGAACCGAGCTGTAATTCGGTTCGGTTCGACCGAACCGATTTATAACTCGGTTCGGCTCGGATGCTCAAACCGAAACACCTCTGCTACCCCTTTTTGCCTGCTGTTTTTTTTTTTTTTAAATTTGACATGAGCTGGCTGCTCATTGGTCAGTGTTGACGTCGCCGTGCTCGGGGCTCGGGCAGTGGAGCTGTGGAGGAGGCGTCGGAACTCGGAAGTCGGAATCGGACGTTCCCTCTGCCTTCTCGCGATTTCGTCAGTCAGATTTGGTTGGGAGTGGGAGAGGTGAGAGGTCGATTCGACTGTCGAGGGTCGGGGTCTAGGGGAGGGAGAGCCAGAGAGGCCTTGGGTTGGGGAAACGGCGAAACGCCGTCGGGGAGAGGCCGTCGAGCGTCGCCGCTGCTGGGCGCTTGCTGGCGGCTGCGGCCTGCGGTGCGGCGGCTGCTGCTTCGAGAGTGGAGGAGGCTGGCGGTGGCGGAGGGACTGAGAAGTGAGAAGTGAGAAGGGTCGGGGCGTCGGCGGGTTTCAGTCTCTCGTCTCTCAGACTCAGAGAAGTGAAGGAAGGAAGTTGGGCTTGGGTTGGGTTTACTTAGGGGTTTGGGGTAAGGAGGTTGGGCTTGGGTTGGGTGGGTAGTAGGCCTGGCCTGCTGAAGTCTTTCCAGGGTTGGGTTAATGGATCATTGGGTTGGGCCTTTTAATTTCGGTAATTCGGTCGGTTTTTCGGTTTTTTCGGTTCGGTTTAAACGAAGTTGGCTCCCGAATTGTTGGCAATTCGCATCCGAACGCCGAACCTAACAAGGTAAAGTTCGGTTTCGGTCGGTTCTTGCTCGGTTCGGTTCGGTTCGGTAAAACCGAACCGCATGCCCACCCCTACTCTGCGCCTCCCACGGCCCCCGCTCCGCCCGCGGCTCGAGCGACCGTCGAAGGCGACGCGACCAACGCCCCTGCCGCGCCACGACGTAAGTACACCCATCTGCGCCTCCTCTTCTTTCATAGCGTTAACCTCTTTTCGCCTGCTTGTAAACCCTCGTTGCTGCGAACATAGGGTCCCTGCGCTTCGTTCGAATCCGCCTTTTTTTTTTTTGCCGCCTTCGCGCCTCCTTTTCCACCCTTAGCCTCACCCCTTGCCCCTTCCTTTGACTCAGGCGCCATCATACCCCAAGACTATGTATTCAGGCCATGGGACTCGATGTGGCCTCCCGGCCATGCGCCCCAGAATACGTCGCTACTCCCTGTGGAGGAGGCTGGTCCCCACCACGCCTCGAAGCAGTTGGGGGTGCGACTAGAGAAACTTGTCGTATGCGCCCAAATGCCTGCGCCTTGGCGATACATCAATGCACCCCCCGAGGCTCGTGTCGGGCTGTGTGGCGAGGGGTGGGTGGGCGTGTACCAGGAGTTCATCCGGTTCGGCCTGCGCTTCCCCATCGAACCAGTGCTTGAGGGCGTCATGGTTACCTGCGCGTGTCCCCTTGCGCGCCTCTCTCCCGCCGTCATTTTAGCCACCATCGTCTTCCGCTACCAATGCCGAAGACATCACGTCCCCCCTACCTTTAAACTTTTTAAACATTTTTTTAAAGTGACCAAGAGTAACAACTGCCTGAGTTTGCAAAGGCGCACGGCGCTCGGGTATGGGTTCGTCAGTAGCTGCGTGAAAATGGGGCGCTCATGGTTTGACTCATATTTTTTTGTCAAACCACGCGAAGTGCCCTTCTTTGAAAGTGGGCGCCCCCTCAGTTCAGAATGGTCACTGGGGAACCGCTTCGCCTTCAACAAGGAGGAGCCGCTTGACGATGCTGAGGAGGCCATGGCGAGGTATCGACACATCCCATAGACCTCGAGGAAGGAGATGAATATGCCCGTGTCCTCGCTGATTTCTACGGCGATGGTACATTTCATGCGCCTTGCGTCGTCTGCGAGTTTTCTGCTTATTATGCTATGTTCTGCCACTTGAACTCACGGGCCATGCGCCCGCCACTACCTTTGCGCCTCTGCTTTTACATCGTGCTTTCCTATTTTACTCCATTGATGTTCTAACTCTTTGTCACTGCGTTTGGTGGTACAGGGACCGACTTCACCTCTGTGACCAATCTGATCAGATCCAGGCTCGACCTTCTGCGGAATGCGGGCGCTGGTCAGGCCGCGCCCAACATACAGGCGCCCGTCAGAGGAGGGTGCAACCTCCGCGGGGACGAGGCGCATGTACCCAAGGCGCCTCCTCCTCTAGGCGTGTCACCACGTCCTTGCCTACGGCGTCGGGAGGCGAGGCAGGAGGCCAAGGCTCTCCCTCGGGGCGCCCCGCTTCCTCTTCAACAACCCCGTCGTCCGCCTCCACACCCAGGGGTGCCGCTGGAGTGAGCACCCCGCCCTCCCCTTCGTCCGCCGGCTCTCGGAAGAGGGCGGGCGTGACTCTACTTGATAAGGGGAAGC